ACTCTAGGCCTGTGGGCTGAAAATGGATGTCCCAACATTGCAGAAGAACTTTGGGTGACTGTCCAGGCAACCAGCTGTCTCTGTCTACTCTCGCAAGACTCCTGAAAGTTGCTGGTGTCCTTCTTCCATTTCTCAGGTAATATTATATCCTTCTGGGGTCTTTGATGTGGTTGAAGACTAGATAGTTATAATTTCCTCAGTTATGATAAAAGATAAGTTAGATATGAAACCTTAGACTCACAAATATAGGATAGACAGGATATCTTCTTTAATATTGTAACTGTAATTCTTGCTTGATAATTGTTTTATTATATGTACTTTTACTATGCTAAAGTTAAAACCTTCCTTTTTGAAAAAAAAGAAAAAGGGGAAGTGCTGTGGATGATTGATTGATAAATAAAACACTGATTGGCCAGTAGCCAGCAGGAAGTATAGGCGGGACTAGTAGAGAGGAGAATTTAGAGAACAGGAAGGCTGAGTTAGGAATCGCTGCCAGCCGCCGCCATGAGTACCAACATGTAAGATACTGGTAAGCCACGAGCCATGTGGCAAGGTATAGATTTATAGAAATGGGTTAATTTAAGACAGAAGAACTAGATAACAAGAAGCCTGAGCCATTAGGCCAAATAGTTTAAATAATATAAGCGTCTGTGTGTTTATTTTATAAGTGGGCTGTGGCACTGCCGGGGCTTGGCAGGAGCTGGAGAGGAATTCTCCAGCTACAATCCTTTTTAACAGTGAATGAGCCTATGGAAACACATTTTTGTCTTACTTCCCCTCCCTTAGTGATAGTCGCTAAGCTTGTACATGTATAGTGTGATGTAAGTCCAGTCTCCTCTTGATTCAGTGTTCATCTCATTGGAAAGTGGGGTTCACATCACCTGTGGAAGGGGGAAGGTGTAGCTAGAGTTTTCCTGCCTGGCCCACAGTCAGGACAAATCTCTCTCACCCGCCAGTCCCGCAGCCTCTCAGACCCAACCAAGTAAACACAGAGACTTATATTGCTTACAAACTGTATGGCCGTGGCAGGCTTCTTGCTAACTGTTCTTACAGCTTAAATTAATCCATTTCTATTAATCTATACCTTGCCACGTGGCTTGTGGCTTACTGGTGCTTTACATCTTCCTTGTCCTGATGGCGGCTGGCAGTGTCTCCCTCACCCAGCTTCCTGTTCTCTCAATTCTCCTCTCTGTTAGTCCCGCCTATACTTCCTGCCTGGCCACTGGCCAATCAGTGATTTATTCATTGACCAATCAGCAACACATTTGACATACAGACCATCCCACAGCAGGAAGGGATATCAGACCCAGGCAAGAACCCAAGCCCAGCATCACGATGGCTGCCCTTGGGCTAGCATCCCAGGGTCACAATTGCTGCCCTTGGGCTAGTATGGAAACAAGCACACCTTGGCTTTCCCTTGTTCATTTGTAACCTCCCACTGTTCTAAGTTGTCTTGGGTTCATTCATAAGCATGGTTTTAGTTTCTGTCCATTTGCAGCAATCTTTCCTTGGTCAGTCCCTGCTCATGATATGGCTGCCTGTGACAGCTTCAGTGAGTTGTCAGACATTAGATTAGTCCCGATGTTCGGACCCAGTGATCTGTCTAAACCTCTTCCATGGCTTCACAACTGACCGTAGCTTCCCTGGCAATGTGTCCCCTCCAGGGTAGCCCTACAAACTACCACTGAAAACAAAATATTCCACACATATTTCGTCTGGTTTAATTTGACTTTGCCATTTTCTGGTCACGTCACTTGATTTCATAGCACAATCATATACTTCTATTTGCCTATCTCTCCACCACTCTTTCCAGGCTGAGATGTTTCACTATGCAGCCCAGGTTGGCCTCAAATTTGTGAGATCTTCCTGTCTTCATGAGTGTTAGATCTCAGGTGTGCATCAATACATTTGGTGTTTAAACCCTACTCTCCTAAGGATGATTGCTACCATTGACCAAGAGCTTTTGGCTGTGCATGGTGTTAGCTACATCATCTCTCCATTTCCTAGTGATATTCATCTTTATTTTACAGAGATTCAATATATTAAGTGCTGACCTTAGGGTCACAGGGGTAGTGTGACAGTTCATTACCTTAGTTGTCTCATTTGTATCATCTAATAAAAGACCAAATTATAGTGAATGCCATGTTAGCACCCATACACTACAAAAGGAAACATGAATGGCTGTGTTTTTACCCCCAAATTCAGCCTTACTTTAGAAAGCTGCCACCAGGTGGCAGCATTTTGCCACGGTCACAGTCTGGTGTTTATAAAAGCTGGGACCTACCCAGACATGAGACCTATTCTCTTTATGATTAAAAAACTGGAAGTTTTTTGAATCTTTTTAGTAAAAGCCTAACTTAACCTTGGATGTAAAGTTCCCCAACTCAGTTTTCTATTTCTACGTTTTTCAAAACTTAAGACACATTTTCCATCCACATTAAAAATATTCCTAAGAACTGGCTCAGCATGGCCCTGATTTCACCTTGAATGGTTCCTAAGACCCCCTGAGGTGACATGAGCCACGGACATCAACAGAGAGCCCAGCTGCAGCTGGACCACAGACCCAGACATGGCTCTTGGTAGCAGCTTGGGCCAGGACAACATCCCAGCTCCGGATGTTAGCACTGGCTAGTCAGGCAGGGATGGTTCTGGTGGCCTTATGGCCTCCAGACACCAACACCTCAGGCTGCAGTCCCAACCCTGGGCTCCTATGTGACCTTTGGTGGCAATATGGGACTCAAGACTTCAGCACAGACCCCAGTCGAGGTAGAACCATGACCCCAGACGTGGTCCTCTGCAGCAGCCTTATCTGGAACTTACCGTTGCTGGCCCTGGGAAAGAGGCTTTGCCTCTTGACAGCACCACAGCAGGAGAGCTGGCCCCTGCTCTCAGGAGAGCTGGTCCCACCCCTCACTGCAGGTGAGGCATGGGCGTGGGGGAGCTGACTCCACCTGCTCGCCTGAGATGGGTGACTCCAGTGGCCAGGATTGACCAGCTTGGTTACCATCCAGGCCCACAGCCAGGCCTTGGGTTGACCCACCCTAACATCTACCCCATCTAGGACCTGCTAGAGCTCATAAAGGGACTGGTCCTGTGGAACAATCCCGCAGGATCTCCAAGACTTGGGGAGGCCACAGGATATCCCAGAGGAGTTCGGGTGAGGACCCAGTGATGATGGTGTACCAGAAACCAGAGGCCTTGAACCAGACCAGTGACTCATTGCAATGATTTGTTAATAAAGCTGATGGAACAAAAGGGTATATACAAAAGTGTGTGTGTGTGTGTGTGTGTGTGTGTGTATAATATATATATTATATATATTATCCACACCGAGCCCACCAATGCCACTGGGACCAATGAAGAGGTGTTGGAGAGTCAGGAAAGGAGAAGCCAAGAGTTTTGTTGCTTTTGTTTGCTTTGTTCTTGTTTTTATTTGCTTGCTTGCTTTTTTTCTTTGGAGGGGGGAGGTGCTGCAAGGGTGAGGGGAGGATATGGGGGGACCGGGAGGTAAGTGGAATTGGGGGGTGCACGTGAAACTCCCAAAGAATCAATAAAGAAATTCTTAAAAAATCAGAGGAAAAAAAAAAAACTCATAGGAAAATGCAGTTTAAAAGGCACACATAAAAATTTAATCTTTTTTCTTAGCCATTTTTAATCAGTTTATAGACAATACAAAAAGGAAAAAAACTTACCAACTTCAACAGGCAAAAATAAGCAATATTTTAGAGTGTGTTTTCCTAGAGATTTATATTTTTAAAAGTTTTACATTTGTGTGTCTGTATCTGCATGTGTCCATGTGCCCAAGGAAGCAAGAATGTGGCACTGGGTGCCTCGGCAGGAGTTAGATCATGACCAGTAACGACTGTGGCATCAGTCCCACCCCCATAAACCTATCTGAAAATTAGGACCAAAACACAATGATCTTATTAATCAAAAATTGTCTATGATCTTATATAGGTACTAGACTTATTCCATGAGATCTGCTAAATTTAAAAAAAAAAAACAAAAACAAAAAACAAAACACTAAACTTCCCAATTTAGCCATATAGTGCCAAATAAACACCTTTTAAAGTTTTTCATATACTTTGTAAGGGATCTCTAAAACTGTCAGTTCATGCCTTTTCTTTTTCACTTAAAAAGAGCAACATGAGAACATCTGGCTATATATAGCCAGCCTCCCAGTGGGAAGTCCTGAGCACACAAAGTTTACTTTCTGTTTGGGGAAGATACCCCCCAGCCCCCTTAGGATGATAAAAAAAGAGAGCATTTCTCAGCTAAAACGATCAGGTTGGTTACTGAGAGCGGGGGTGGGGGAGTATAATTTATACCAACAAGAAATGCCTGAACTGTCCAGCCAGATTACAGTGTTATCATTACTAATACTAAAATCGGCTTGATCTTTAAGATTTCTATTCTATCACTACCTTAAGGCTACAGTGGAGACAGACAGTAGGGCTGTGAGGGAAAGTAACCAGAGTGGCAGATAATCCATAGCAAACACCGGTCCTCTTGGGCCAGGGAACTGTGGGATGTGGCAAGGCAGGGAAGAGACCCCTCCCCCATGACATATGTGGTGAAGCCCGAAGACCAGCTGAGCTGCCGGCATGCTGTGCAGCGTGCTGAGGTTCAGGCTTTCAGGAGCAGTCACCATGCCTGGAGTTCCGTGATGAAGGTACCTTTGAGTCATTTCTGCTCCTGTGTATAACCCCTCCCCCACACTCCTGTAAACTCACTGGTTCACCAGGTTGTATTTAGTGCTATCCTCACTATAGTCTACGTGGGGTTCCCAATCCAGGGTGAGTGAGTGAGTAGACCTTTACAGTTCCAGTCACACAGCACCAAAGCAGAAAAGAACAAGGAGTAACTAAGACAGCATCTCACAGTAGCCCTGGCTGCCCTCTAACTCAGCAACCCTCCCGATTCAGCCTCCAAGTGAAGTTACAGCCCTGAGCCATGCCTGACTTCCTTATGGTTCTTTAGTCAGCTTATGTAAAAACATATCTGCTAAAGACTTCAACTTTATTGAATAAAAACAAAAAAACAAAAAACCTTACAACTGAGAAAGCAATTAGAGCAAAACCAGTAGCTAGGACTATAATTTAAATAATGCAATAGAAAAACTCAATTGAACACTTATTTTTACCAAGTCTGCATGTCTGCATGTCTCACAATGCAGATTTACGGGTGACCACCAATCCCAGAAGAGAGAAGTTCCAATGTAATATAACAGGTCCTCTTTCCTGTGTCCTAGAACATGAAACACTACCAGAACTAAAGTTCCTCTTTGCAGGTGAAACAGCGAAATACTTGAAGCACATTTTTAATTCTTTCCAGTGGAGCCGAAGCCTCCTGAGCCCCTTTCAGTGACATCCAGTGTCTGAAGAAAGACAGGAGGAAGGCAAGCCGGTCAGTGTCACAGCCTCTGTACAACTCACAAACCCTTTGTCCTGACCGGATCACCCCTACCATCCAAAATGCTACATTCATCCAGCTGAAAAACACTTACCGGTCTCCAACATTCCCAAGCATCCCTCCTCTCCACTTTACGGTCCACCACCCAGTCTCACTCAGCATTTATAACACTTACTTCAACTTCTTCCAAGTCTGGATAGAAGATCCGTTCACAAATGAGCTGTGCAATCCGATCACCTTTTTTTACTTCAAAGAAAAAACAAAACACAGATTATTATTGATATTGATGTATTTTTCTATCCTACCTTATTCAATGAGAACTGGGGTCAGTTTTAGGCAACTTAAAATTTCCTACATACATAAACGTATATATTTAACTCACCTTCAAACTTCTCTTTTCCAAAATTAAACAGCACAACACCAACATTTCCTCTATAATCTTCATCTATGACACCGGCTGGAAGAAGGAAAAATGTTTTTTTGATTTATGCCATCAGAATACCAGGTGTTTTAGATTATCTCAAAACCACTTTTTCAAACTTTTTCCAAACTTTCTCAAATTCTTATACCCCACAAAGTGAATCTCACTTAGGTCCTACTTGGTTTGAGAATAAATGATATTACTAAAATACAAGAATTTAAAAAGCATGTCCCAATTTTCCATCCTGAATGCTTATCAAATGGCGAGCATTTCATACTTCAAACTGAGTGGAGCAACTATCATCTCCAACCTCACAGCTGACTCCCAGTCCGTATGCTAAAAAACCTTGGAGAAAAAGAGCTGGGCTTTGAAAGTCTTTTCTGGCATCAGCTTCCATGATATTCTGATTAAATCACAGAGAAACAACACTTGAAGCCCAGTGATCTGCAGGAAAAGCCAGGGTGACACACTAAGCAGCAAGCAGTCTTGCAGCTATTAGAATATTCCACTTGCATCAGAAAATGGGGCAGAACTGCCGTTTATAATTTTTTCTTTCAAAGTCAAAGCACTGTCCATTTTAAAACCACGACAGTTCAGTAAACACTGGCTGGTAAGCTTAATGAGTTGTTGCTGCTGCAACAGCACACGTGCGGCGGTCAGAGGACAACCATGGACGTCGGTTCCTGCCTTCCACCATGTGGGCGTGAACTCATTTGGCTTGGTAGCAGGCACCTTTACCTGACAGGCCATCTTGCCAGCCCAATTAGTACCTATTTGGTATTATAAAATTAAATAGATTCTTACAGGAAACCTGAGCTAGGTCCTTGCCATGGCCCAGAAGATACATGCCCCAGATTTGCCCCCAGCCGTCCCTGAGTCAGGAACTTGATGTGTTTATACAAGCACAGATAATGTGGCTAACAGCCCTCCGTTTCTGTTTTTAACATGGAGATCTAATACAGATGTCAAAGGCAGTTCATTCTGTCTAGACTAAGGGAGAGTCTGTTTTTTTCCAGTAGAATGGCAACAAACCTTTCACCAATCCAAATGTTATACGAGGCTGCCTTTATTACCAGTTTATTAGTTTAGTCCTTAATGCTCAGGAAAAGAGCTGATAGAAGGATTGGGCCAGCTGTTTTCATACTCTTTGGAGGAAGGTTAGTTAACTGCAGGAATAATGCAGCTTGCACTCAACAAGGAACTCCTTAGGGTAAAAGCGTGTTTTTCCACGTTGGAATCAATGACCACAGAGGGCTGGAGAATTTCCACTGTGGAAGACCTTTGAGGCACAGCCTAATAAGCATATCGATTACAAATGAGTCTGTAAAGATAACCCAGACTGACTTCTAAATTCTTTTGGCTGTACTTTATTAGGAAACTATTAAATTACTCAAACAGTATCACTATGCACAAGGTAAAAACTGTAATAAAGTTTATAAAAGTAATTAAATTACTTTAATTCTTCCACTCCAAAGAATCAGTTATTCATTGAAATAGCATAAATTCTAGTGATTTCTTCTAGATACGAACATAGAAGGAAGTTCCAATATTTCTATGCAGAAAGTATCTTACATGCGTAACACCAAACATTCATGTTGCTTTCATGGTTTTGCTATGATACACAAAACAACCCTTGATGTACATTAATGTTATCTCAAGTAAGTCACAAAAAACTTTCCTGGGTCAAAGGATGGACACATATATGTACTGCTAGATAACTGCAAAAAAAGAGGCACAGCCATTCCAACTTCCAGCAGCAAGCAATATTTGAGTGTCTATTTGTGCTCAGACCAGATAGCAGCCGGCTTTTAATTACTGGCCAATAATGATAAATAAAAAAGACATTTCATGGCCTTACTTTTCATTACCCTATGGGTAGACATTTTTCTTTCCATATGTACAACTTGCATGTCATACATGTTTCTATATTTTTGTCTATTTTTAATGTGTTTTTAGTTGCAAATATAGTAATTATATACTCACACGCACATATACACCTCCGTTGTATGTCTGCAAAGTTCTCCTGTTGAGAGTATTCAAATAGCTAGGTGTCTTGAATCCTACAAGGCCAGGTCATTTTAGATGCTTGGACCATGAAAATGTGAAAATCTTCTACTAGCAAGCAAATAAACCCAAACAGCAAAGGCCTACAATTCCAACTACCTGGGAGGCTGATGCAGGACAACTGCCATGTTCAAGGCCCACCTGGTAACTTAATGAGATTTTGTCTCATGAAGATGTGAAAAGAGGAGCTGGAGACATCGCCCAGCAGTAAAGAGCACTGGCTGCTCCTGCAAAGGACTTGAGTTCAATTCCCAGCACCCACAGGGCAACTGTAAATAAAGAGAGGACTAGAGAAAAGGGGTGGGGTGAGGGGGAGAACTTGTGTGAGTTCTTGGGTTCAATCCTAGTACTACTATTACAAAAAAGAGAGAGAAAGAAAAGGGCAAGCAAACAGAACCCCACAAGACAGATCTTCTCTGCATAAAGATTAATGCATTCTACCATCTCTTCATGAAAATGCACTGAGCATCTTGGAAGGCTATCACTGGAAAAACCAGGCACTGGAACTGGCAGTGGTTAATCGACTTCAGGCAAGGTTTTCTGTGTCAAGACTTTGGCATGTCATTGTTGGAAACCTCTTTAGTGAGAATGCTCCACACCTACCAGATGTGAATTCAGAACACAATCTTGCACAGTCAACTTTTCCTTTTGACCCTCACTTCCAGCCCCAGGCTTCTAAAAGCATCTCCCTTTAGTTGCCAACTATGATAAACTTGTACCTAACAGAAATTTCATAGATACTCTGCATCCAAGAACATACCACAATGTGATTTTATGAATAACCTCATAGCAACCACCAGGAAAACTAACTTTCCAACTACATGATTTTCCCCCAGACAGTTGTTTTAAGCAGAGTAAAATTTAGAAACAAAGTTGGAGAGGAAAAAGAAGTTTCCACATAAAAAAATCCGTTACGCCCGTAGAAGACAGAACTGTTAACCTGAATTAATGTATGTGCCAAACACTGCTGGATGCTCCACACACATAACTTAGCTCTCATACCCCTCAGAGGTAGGCATACTAATTTCTATTATACAGATGAGGACTGTCCCTTTAAAAACCCTTTGAAATTTCACTAAAAATATAAAATCTTTTATAACTTTAAGTTAGATTATTAGTATCTCCCAAGTGACTATATTTGAGTTAGTAAATTTTTTAACTTTTATTTTATGTGTATGGATGTTTTGCCTGCATAGATGTCTGTGCACCATATACATTCAGTGCCTGAGGAGGTCATAAGAGAGTGTCAGATACCCCAGAACTGGAGTTACAGACAGTTGTGAGATACCATGTGGGTGCTGAGAATTAAACCCAGGTAACCTGGAAGAGCAGCCATTGCTTTTAACTGCTGAACCATCTCTCCAGCCTGTAAAAAATATTTCTGAATATTAAATGTACTCACTAAGCCCTGGGAATTTTCAATCCAAGACAGGACTATAAATATCACCCTCAAGGCTACACAGAACAGAGGAACTATTTTGGGATATCTGCCTTGTCCCACAGCACCACCTAGTGACACCATGGGAGATAACAGTACTTTCCAAAACAGGAGGCCAATGGGTAGGCAGGTCTGGGCAGCCAAGATTCATCATGTACTTAATTAACCCCCACCACATTGGCACAGTGTGGGGATGGGGCAGTTTTTAATTCCACTGGTGAGAACAGCGGTACTAGAAATACATTTCTAAGTCAGTTTTCTCATTAAAAACAAAAACAGAAAAACCCCCAAATCCTCTTGACATGGTTCTGTAAAAATGGGTACAAGACAATCTAGCATACCTATGTATCTGAGGGTCAGTGTCTCTGGCATGAAATACTGGATTAAAACAATGAAAGGTCAAGATTTTGGCCCTAAATCAGTGAAGTTATGTGCCCTAATAAGAGATCAGAAACAGCCGGGCGGTGGTGGCGCACACCTTTAATCCTAGCACTTGGGAGGCAGAAGCAGGCGGATCTCTGTGAGTTCGAGGCCAGCCTGGTCTCCAAAGCGAGTTCCAGGAAAGGCGCAAAGCTACACAGAGAAACCCTGTCTCGAAAAAAACCAAAAAAAAAAAAAAAAAAAAGAGATCAGAAACAACATAACCCTACCAGGAGGGCCTACAAAGATGGCTCAGTGATTAAAAGCACTTGCTGCTCTTGCAGAGGACCCCTCATGGCAGCTCACAGCCTTCTGTAACTCCAGGTCCAGGGGATGATGCTCTCTTCTGGCCTCCAAAAGAACCAGGCATGCACACAATGCATCTATACACAAAATACTCGCATACACTAAATAAATACACATGTAAGAATCCTGTCAGGAAAGAAGATTCTTTACATATAGAGGCACAGAAACCCTGTAGCAAGGACGGATACCACATCACACTGTCACAAAGGTAGCAAGAGAAACAGGTGTCAGTGAAGACACTTTTGAGAAATGTAGAAAAGCACCATATTTTGTCTTCGTACTGTGGGGGAAAAGTACCTTGCTACATTTTGCAAAATGTTTAAGTATGGCCTTTCTGCCAAAGCTAAGAAAATTCTTACAAGCTAGATCTGTCTTTCTAGAACCTTTGACTTATTAGTTTAGCAAACTATAACTCAATGACCACAAAAGGTTTTCCTGGTCTAAGAATCAATTCTGCACTAAAGACAGATGACCAGTGCAGCAAGGTGTAAAATACCATGCATTTCACAGAATATAATCAGGAGAGATTAGACAGTGTCAAAAGGCATCAGAAACTATAGCATTATTGCCTATTCAGACTTAGAAATTCCTAGAGGCAAGGATACTACAAAATTTCATAGAATAAAGAAATAAATGTTACCTCCTACATCTATGAAGTATTTTACTGCCAAGCCAGAACGTGGAGCTAAAAACAAAATTGGAAAACAGTGGTTATTTTAAATGGTAAGGAGAAATAGATACATTATTTCTGATATAACTTAAGTATCATGGTCTCCTCTAAGGTTTCTATTTTCACCTTAATTTCAGCAGATCACTCTTAAAGAACACATTTACCATACTATACCAACCAAAGTTGGAAAGACTACTTTAGAAAAACTCAATGCCACTTTAATTCAAAACAAACCCAAAGCACAGCCACATGACTGATGTAGCACAGAAGTGAGCAATAGATTGCTAGGATGAACTGGAAAGCGAACAAATCCAGCCCAATCTGAAACCTTCTGCCTAGTGTTTATATTAACTTATTATGACGTGTGTGTGTCTGTGGACTCAGTTTTCCTTCTACATGTGGGTCCTGAGATCAAACTCAGGTCACAAGGCTTTCAGAACAAATGCTTTGCTCACTGAGCCATCTTTCTGGCCCAACTTGTAGTTCAAGATGGGAGAGCTGACTGTAAATCCTAGACGGAAGAAGGAATACCGCAGAGCTTAGCAGAGAACCTTCTCATTATTCAGGTTAGGAGACATGTTTGCATGAAACATGAGTGAGTAATGGCCAACGCTCTAATATCAGTGAACTATCTATAGAATTTCACCAAAAATTAAACTCTCCTGTACATTTTTTATTCTAGAAATGGGGAAAGCATTTTATAGCTCAAACTTGCTGACCCAAGCCTCAGGTCTATCTCAATAATCCCGATACCTAGCACCATGCTTCAGAACAATCTAAAGCAGGTGCTTTGTCAATGAGCACTACCTCTTCTGAGATGTTCTCTCATTCCATCTCTTTGCTTTCCTGCCCTGGGACTTTAAAAATGTAGTCGGTGATGCCACAGACCAGCAGAACCCATTTCCCCCTTTTTAAGGGCCAAAGTACTAGAGGTTCTACACACGCATAACAAGAGTGTTAGTCCAGGTCTCTTATCTGAGACAGAGTCTTGGTCTTTTCCCTACTATTTAGTTTGAGGTTACAAAAAGCATTTATGTTCTTGACAAGTTTTGAATTCACTCTCTAGACAAGTGACATGCCCCAGAAAAATTCAAGCCAGACTCATAGCCATTCTTTCTCAGCCGTAACTGATACACACAAGTGCTTCTCACTCTTATCTCCAGGACCCAGAACAAGGCAAGGCTCAGTGGTTCAGGCCTCTCTACTTTAGGACACAGGCCAAGCATCAGTTCTTCCCTTTGTGCCCACATGACACTAAGATGATGGGTGTTCCTCACCGTAAAGGACAGGCACGACAAATAGTTACCTGTCTCTTAAGGCACTCACCTACTCTTCCATAGCATCCGGAAGGAACAGCTATCTGAATGTCTGTTTTCACAATGGCTTTCTCCATGGGTGGTATTATATAATCATAGGCACTAAAAAGACATTTAAATAAATTACTTATTAAGCTTTTCTTTTCTTCTAGTTTTTTCAAGACAGAGTTTCTCTTTCTAACAGCCATAGCTGTCCTGCAACTCTCTTTGTGGACCAGGCTGGCCTTGAACTCAGAGATCCTCCTGCTTCTGCCTGCCAAGTGCTGGGATTAAAGGTGTATACCACTACCACTTTATTAAACTGCTTTTAACATTCTTTGCTACAACAATGCCTATAAAATGTATTCAAATATGGTCTTCACTTCATATAAACCTAGATCCTATAAACAATCATGACAAATTCCTAACTCATCTAAAAAAGTTTCCACAGAAAGTAGTATTTTCTTTTAGCTTTAAAAAGAGGGCTTTAGAGTGGAGGCGGCGGCCGCACACACCTTTAATCCCAGCACTTAGGTAGGGAACTCAGTGAGTGCCAGGCTATCCCAGAAGTATAAGGTAAGACCCTTGGGGGGAGGAGTTGCAGGGGGTGGGTGTATATGGACACACAGCTTAGCTAACAGGTCTCTGAATTGAACAGTGGAACAAGGAGATATCTACACTGTCGCTGCTGTTATGTTTGGGGAATTAGCACGAGGAGCAGAAAAGCAGACTGAATTCACTAACTTTCTGGAAATAAAATGAAAAGCCAAGATATAGGGCAAATAACAGCTAACACTCACTAGGCCCTCTCTCCGTGCCAGGCACAGTTCTAAGAACATGCAAATACATAGGGACCCATTTTATTTTTGTACCGATTCTCTTGAATGAGGGTGACCCTGCAGAAGACCAGGGTAAGACTAACACTGGTGAGAGGCTGAGATGCAGTCCTTCTTCTTAGCCAGGCAGATCAACAAGCCTCCCAAGCTAGGGCTGTGAACTTCGGTGGCTGGGGAGGAAACTAGTCACTCAGTCAGAGCAGCTCCTGGGCATGGACACTGCTGAAAACCCATTTCCGAAGGTCCACCTGCCAAAGGCTGCAACTGTCTCTTATTACTGCAGCTCCCTTCCGGATAAGAACTTCAGACTTTGCAATGAGCAGCACTGGAAGGTACTCTGGAGGCCTGAATTCAATCTGCTAGAACTAACTGTACGATAGCTCCCTTTCTTCACATGGTATTTGCACGCCTCATACAAGAGTCACTTCCGATGCACAGAAAACACCAGCTTTTTTACAAGATGGCCAAAATATCTAATATCTCTCCCAAGACTCGCCATGCTAGATGCATACACACGGGTCATCAGGCTTGGTAACCATGGCAGGTGCTTTTACGCTGAGCCATCCCACTAGACTGGGACCCGCTTGAAGTCCCCAGTCCTTGCACGGGATGGCTGTATAGAGACGCAAGCAGCGTCCACAGATCCCTTTCCTAGACCCTTACGTAGCTTTTCTAACGTGCACACTGCAGACGGTCACCCCTCTGTCAAGAACAAGCCTTGCTCACCGGACCTTCCCCTTGGCAAGGGTGGCGTGCACGCTGCACAGTAATGCTTTGGACATGTCAGCCGTTTAAGATTCCTCTCGCCCAAACGCTTGCTAGGTCTGCCTAAGATGAACTGTTAAATAAACGTCTCTGCGAGAACGCGGCGGAGCCACGGCTGCACCAAGGCGCGGGTGTCTGCATTCGTGCAGCCCGGCCGTGGCTCTCACCTGTACAGGTCGTAGCCCGCAGCGCGCGCCGACCCGCGGGTGGGAGCCGTGGCGTGCTCCGAGAGCCGCACGAAGCGCAGGCACGCGCCGTCCTCGGCCCGAGCCCGCTTGCTCACGGAGCCGGCGGCAGCGTCTTCCGAGCAGGGCATGGCGGCGAGCGGAGCAGAGCCGAGAGCCGCGGGAGCACGGGAAGAAGAGCAGAGTGCAGTGAGCCCCGGCGCCCGCCGAGCCGAAAACAGTCTCCCGCCTGGACGAGCCCACCGCGCGGGACGGGGGCGCGGCCTGCCGCAAAGGGCTCGAGCGCGGCCTAGCGGAGGCACCGAGCGCGCCGGGCTCCCCTCCTCGGGGACCCCAGTGGACTCGCTCCCGCGCTCCGAGCCCGCCCGCCCCGCCCAGGCGCACCGCTACCTGAGCAGGCCCAGCCTCCCCACCAGCCCAGCGCACGCTTCCTCCCCCGGCGTCCTCCTTCTTCCCCAGCGCGCACGCTCCCCGCCCCGTCTCCCCGGCTTCCCCACCCCAACCGCCACGCGCGCGCGCCCCCGCCCCCGCCCCCGCCCCCGGCCGGGACTTCACCGGCTCGGTCGCCGCTTCGGCTCGGCGCCGCCGGCGGGAGCGCGCGCGAGGGCGGCCGAGCCCGCAGGAGGCAGCGGCGCCGCGGGAGCGCTCGCGCGCACAGGAGCAGCATGGCCGGTCCCTCCCGGGCCCGCGGGCCGGCGCTTTAGGCCCCCGCGGGCCCTGAGCCCGCTGCCCCGCCCCGAGCTCCGCCTAGCTGCCTTCCTGCGCGCCTTTCCTGGTCCTAATGTTCCGGGGCGCAAACGAGAGACCCTTTGCCTTCTACAAAACGGGCGGGCAGAACGTCGTTAAGCCTCTTGTCCTCAGCCAAAGCCAGCGGGAGATTCCGTGGCTGGGAGTCAAACATTCTTTGACTTTACAAAGGGGATAATTAAGGAGCTTAATAGACTCTCCGGTTTTATCAGGTTTTACCGCAAACACATAGAACTCAAGTTGTTGACGCAGTTTGATTTTCAGAATAAACAGAAGGCCCAAGGCGCTTTTACAGAAATGCCAACTAAACATATTAGGGGACCATCGCCATTTCCATGCCTTTTCTACAGGCCAGTGCGGTCGTCTGGTGGGTGTGCAACAAACAGACTTGCTTCCTGAGGCTCTTTAAAGAATCTGTTATTAGCCAGGGGGTGGTGGCGCACACCTTTAATCCCAGCACTTGGGAGGCAGAGGCAGGTGGATCTCTGTGGGTTTGAAGCCAGCCTGGTCTACAGAGCGAGTTCCAGGACAGCCAGGACTGCTACATAGAAAATTCCTGTCTCGAAAAACGAAAGAAAGAAAGGAAGAGAGATAAAGAAAATGTGTGGTTGTGCCAGTGCATGATGTGTATGTGTGGTCCTGCAGGCCATGCAGGGTGAGGTCGGCTCCTCTTCCTCCTTCCACGTGTAGGTGGGTTTAGGGGTGGCCCTCTGGTGGCCAGGCTCGAGAAGCAGGCTCAGTTTCCCACTGAGCCTTCTCCCTGGGCCCAGGCTTTCAATTTTATCTATACGCTCAGAACTTCCTCAATTTCTCGCAACGGTGAGGCATTCTGCTCATTTTCCGACTTGAGCTATTATTATCCTGTTGCCCTCTGGTCACAGTGTCTTTCTAACGGTTTCTAGACCCAGCTTTGGCTTCAGCAAAACTCAGTTTATCTCCAAGAGGCCATTCTGAAAATACTTAAGTTGTTGCCCTGCCTCCCCTCAGCACTGTTTACTATCAGGATATTTTTCTGTTTACATTTCTTGTTACTACAGTCTGTACATGTATATTAGGATTCTGCTCTCATTCCTCGGGGTCTGGCGTCTTATGTCATCAAGAGGTGCTGCGGACTACATACCCGTGGTCACACAATCCCTGCTTTAAAAAGCAGGACACCGACTCCCACCTCTCTCTTTTTCTGTGTTCTCTCTCTGCTCTCTGCTCTGCTCCCTCCCCCCTTCCCTCCCCCACCAGGCCTGGCCCTTCCCTCTTTCCCTTTCCCTCCCAATAAAGCTCTAAAAACTAACATTGGGGTCAGCCAGTAACCAGCGCCACTAACCAGTGCCATTTTACTATCATGTATTTTTTCTGGTCCATTGTCTACTTATTGGTTAGATACAAAATTTACAAGGGAAGGACCCTATAGACTTTGGCCTTTTATATTCCTGGTGTCTCATGGTGGGTTTCAAAAGGCCACACCAGGCCCAGTGTCCGTTTGTGCCTGCTGCCTGAGGATCAAGATGTAGCTCTCAGCTATTGCTGTGTGCTGTGCCTCTCTGCTTCCTGCCATGATAATGGACTGACCCTCTGAAACTGGAAGCAAACCCCCAATTAAATGCTTTCTTTATAAGAGTTGCCTTGGTCATGGTGCCTCTTCACAGCATTGAACACTAAGACAGATAGAGATCTCATTGTTCAGTCAGTCAGACCCCTGTGTATTATTTCACAAATCTTGGCATTTGTGTCCATTCCTTTACAAGAAAATTGTTGTTGGGCCTGGAGAGGAGGTTCAGCTGTTAAGAGCTCTTGGTGATCATGCGTCAGACCCGGATTTGGTTAGCAGCATCCACCCTGGGTGGCTCACAATTGCCTGTAGCTCCAGCTCCAGGGGATCCAACTCTGTCTTCTGGCTTTGGAGAGCACATGTACACACACATCGTGCATATACAGACAATCAGGCCCACACAAACATATACATAAAAATATATTCTTTTCAATTTTGTACAGGAATGTGTATGTGCTTTGATCATATTTCTCCAATTATTCTGTCTTATCCCATCCCTGCTACCAAATCCCTTCTAATGAAGTACCTTTCGTGTGTGTGTGTGTGTGTGTGTGTGTGTGTGTGTGTGTGTGTGTGTGTGTGTTGTTCTTCTTTGTGGCCCACAGCATTGAACTAGATTTGCTTTCTTGAGCATGGATGGGCAAACATTAACTGTCTTTAGTTCCTCAGGGGGAGCTGGGCTCTAGTTTGCCAATTGTATTTATTTTCTTAATAATTCATTATGTGTTTGAGACAGGATCTCATGTATCCCCATGACCCACACCGGCCTTGAAAAGGGTGACTTTGGACTTCTGATCCTCCTGCCTCTACCTCCCCAGTGCTGGGGTTGCAGGTGTGATCCCCCATGCCTAATTTAAACAGGAACTGAGGGTGGAACCCAGGGCTTTGTGCAGTCTAGGCAAGCAACTTATCAACTACACTGTATCCCCAGCCCCCGGTTCCTCTGATTTTTATATTTATTTATTTATTGGTTTTTTGAGATAGGGTTTCACTGTGTAGCCCTGGCTGACCTTGAACTCAGAGATGCCTGCCTCTTCCTCCCAAGTGCTGGGATCAAGGCATGTGCCACCACCACCCAGCTCCTCTCATTTTTAATTGAAGATTTTTCTTCCTTGTATTGCTTTTCAAAATAAGAAACAAGTATGATGCCTTCCATAAACTTCTTCACACACCCACTCCTTAAGGGAAATACTCCCAATGTTTGGGCTTTTTGTACTGGAATTTACTTCTCTGTTTCTAGATTATGTGTTGATATTTCTTTTAAAATGATATAGAACTTACCTTCTGAATTAGGATAATTCTTTTAACACTGTCCTAAACACAGTCCTGGGAATAGTTTCATAAGGATTTTTAAGCAAGTCCTCTCTTGAGGGACCTTTATCATGGCTCTATCATTCACTACTGAGATAAATAGTGTGATACTTTAAAAAAAAAAATCAGTCTCGAGCTAATTGTTTTTCCATTTGTTTTATAGGAGCTACATCTAATCTGCCCATTATTTTTGTATTGTTTTTCCAAACATGCTACAGGAAACACACATTTAATCTTTTCTCAGTTACGATTTCCCCCAGAGCCTCCTCCTCCATGGTCTGGCTCTGGTCTGTGGTGGTTGGATGGGATCTAGCAGGCCTGAGCATGGCAAACATGTCGCCTTGTACCCTTCTCCCCATTCCCTTGCATTCCTAAAGCTAGCCACCAAGGTCTATGCCCTTATTTGGCCACTTCCTCCTCCTGAGGCTGACTACCAAGGTCCAACTATGGAAGTATTGAAGTCCAGCCATCAAAAGTCCCCTTTTGGCTGTCCTAATTAACATGCTCAATCAAAATTAAACACCTCATCCTAACACAGAGCTTCTCCTGCTGCAAGCCGCAGGAAACATAATGGAACTCAGCTACTATCACAAAAGCTACTACTTGGAAAAGTCAAGGACTTCTCCAAAGGTCAAGCCATGGCTTAAGGAGTCTTGGTGATATTTTAGCTTTTGTATATATATTAGCTGGTTCCTAAAATGATTTTCGTATGTGCTTCCAAGAACTCCTAACAGTGTATTTATCTAAAATGCCTGGCAAGCATCCAAGGCCATATGAAACAACACCTGTCTCCTAGGTCAGACGGATAGCTTTATTTCTTTGCAATTTAGGGTGAGACCCTCCTTTCTTATACAACCTTACTAATAGACCCCTAACTTCTTACCTAACCACTTCTAGGAATGTAGACTGAGCACATAGACCCCCTTTTTGATATACTAACCAGTCATTAGCACTCAGTTGATCTCCTCTTTTACCACTCCCATTTTGGATTGTAATAGAAAGCCTGGTGGTCACTGCCTGAGGAAAATTCTTACCTGCCTTTATAACCCTGTAGAATTCAAGCCTGGTGACCTTGCCCGACCAGGGGCTTGCTATTGCTTGGGTTTATAACTAGATTCCTGGGATGACTTAGGGAGAACGTGGAGAATGAATAGACTGAGAACGGAGAGAGATAAGGAGGATTTTGACCAGAGAGTACGTATGGACGAGATGGAAGACGAGGAAGAGAGAGATGGGGAAGTACTAGCTGGGTACAAACAAGATGAAAAGGACCTAGATGAGGCAGAATTAAGATGAGAGAATTAAGATAGAACTTAGAAGGAGCAGTAGATAAATATAGAGAGAAATCAGGCAAGAAAGGAGCTAGGCACGAGAACAGAACTGAAGCTGTGTAGAAAGGATGTTATGCCAGAGGAATTAAGGCAAATGGACTATAGAGCTCGGTGTGCTGAGATTCTATTTCCCAAAAATAGTCCTCGCGGTTCGTAGTTCTCTCTCCTGAGCCCCTGGGATGTATAATATTAAGGCTGGTCTCACTAATATTATACAAGATTCTCCTTTCACCTTAACAAACTTCCATTTGTCTCCAGGCTACTTCTGTCTCCTCTCTGTCCAGAGGCCGTCCTTTGTTCCTCTGAGGCAAATACTCCTTTCCCCATCTCCCTTGTTCCTGTTCCCTTCCCCTTCTCCCTTGTCCTCTATCTCCTGTCTTTTCTCTCTTATTCCCTGCCCTTTGTCCCTTTGGGGCAAATAAATCTCCTTTGTGCAGAGAACTTGGTCTTGGGGTGTCTTGTGACGTCAAGGTCCTTCAGTGGTGACTTTTGTCCTGCTGAAAAGCTTGGCCGAATCACTCTCGTACTGAAGCATGGTTCCATGGATCGAGTGCCTTTCTCTTAATTTGTTCCTTCATTTTGCTGGAGTCCTTTCTCTAGTAGTTTCTGAAGAGATTCGAGTGAGAAATTGTTTGAATCCTTGCATCTCTTATCATGTAATAATTACAACTCCCTTTTCCTTGTCCCAGATCAAAATCTCACTTCATTCAAGACTCAACCAGGAGTGACTTCTGCTCCCATCTTATC